TGAACATCCATTAACAACTGTATCTAAGATTTTTCTTAGATACAATTGGTAATGGATGTTCAAATTAATCAAATATCTATGATAAAACTGTCTCTGAACTCTTTCTGGAAAGTCTAAAAACTCAGAAAAACCATAAATTCTCGCGCGGTTTTTTGCCGAGTTTCATTTTGTTTGTTTCATATTTCGGCAGTTAAACAATATTTGCTTATTTTGTGTGCCTTAGATAAAAGTTGTGTTGTCTAAGTGTGCTCTAGGATAAATATAAATGCCTTGAAAGAAGTAAAAGTGAGAAAATTTTTAAGCTGTATTTTTAAGCTGTATTTTTCGCACCATTTTGTAAGAAAGGACCGGGGCTACCTGCAGAAAACACTCATGGCCGGCTTCAAAGATGGCGGCGAACTTATCGTTCCAGTTTACTTATATAGTTCAATGCTTTAGGCCTGTTTCATACGTCGCACTATCGTCAAATTTAATTTGGACGAATTTAATTGAACGAATTAACTTCGTCCAAGATGTTTTATCCATCATGGTCAGACGGATACAACGTCTGTAGCGCGTCTTCGTTTCATACGACGTCTTATCGTCGTGTCGAATTAAATGCATAAATTATGTTAAAGTCTATTTCTCTCTTTCTGATCTCGTGGGGGTTTTTTCTGGGTAATCCATGATCGCTAGACATGAAATGAGTTCGTCTGAATTGAATTCTTCGTTTGAAACGAAACCATTTTAATGTTGACCAATTGACGAATTTAATAACGAATTAAATTCGTCTGAATTAAATTCGACGTATGAAACAGGCCTGATATACTCGACCTTTGGAGAGAACAGTTTAGAGCTGACAGAATTAACTATTCGGTATAAATGAAGGTAGATTTCCTTTTGTAATAACACTGGAACAAGAAATAAGAGACGTCCCTTACCGGAACTCTACGGAGAACAGTTTTAAATTTGAGAGAGCTATATATCCAGTATAAATAACGTTAGTTAGTTTTTTGAACCAAAACCCATAAATTTATTGTTCGTTTATTTTCAGGTCATGATGATGAAAGTCACGTTTTTAAAGAGATGGATCCTGGTGCATTCTTTACGTTTTCAATTCCTTTTGACATGAAGGGAAACACAAAAGTTAGTGTATTAACAGCAACGCCTCTAAACTAGTTCAAACTGTTCTCCCTAAAGGTCCAGTAAGAGATATAACAACACGGGTTGTTGTTTCAGTGTTACTACAATACTACTGCAGGAAACTTGCCGATTGTGGTCCAAATGAAGTAAAAACTGAAACAAGAATTTGACTTATATGAGAAAAGTCAGGATGTCAGATGGCAGAAATTGATATCCAATAGTTATGAAGGTTGAATGATGTACATGGATTGAAAAATATTCTCCATTCTGATCGGCTAATAGCAGTGTAATTTTTCGAAATACAGTGCCAAAAAATGAAAGACAGTGCAATTTTTCGAAATACAGTGCTTTAAGATACAGCCATTTCTAGTAGAAAATAATACCAAAAAAACCAAACATTTACAAGCGACAAAAATGGCTGGCGTTTTTAGTAGATTTTCTGTTGAAATTATTTATATTAAAATTAACTATTTCGCTTGTGACCTACGTACGCATGTGACTGCATACTTTTTTCATGTATTATTATGTGCTATTTAAAAAACGAGCAGGAGTGTTTTATTAGGTTTAAAGCCACGAGCGCGCAGCGCGAGTGGCTTTAGACCTAATAAAACACGACCTGCGAGTTTTTTATATGACTTCAAAAACATTTGCATAATAAGTCAAATCTTTATATAAAAATCTTTATATAAAAATCTTTATATAAAAATCTTTATATAAAAATCTTTGTATAAAATTCTTTATATAGTTTGCATAACAATGGTCTTTTGTTAAAGTGTTCTTTAGCTGGTATAAAGACGTATGCACGTGACTGATTTCTTACTCAAGATTGGATAATTGCTTCATGAATTATTAATGAGTTTTTGAATAATAAGTAATACACTCGTGCGTCTTTTTGCACTCGTGGAATTTTGATCGTCTTTGAAAAACTCATTCATGCATGTTTTCCCCAAATTGCACTCGAAACCATTCTACTACCTAGTATACAAACCAGAGCCAAAATACGAAATTTCAGCACACTCTTTACCAGCTTGGTGCTAACCGCGCAACAAAAACAATAGAAAGGGACTGGAACTGACGTCCAATAGCTCTTCAGTTTCCGCCATCTTGACTTCACTTTTTGGACACGAGTTCTCGCTCCAGATAGATATATATATATATATATATATATAAACAACATAGATATATATATATATATATAAACAACAAATTTCAATCTTAAAATTTTATTTCATCGCTACACAGTGTTTCACGTACAGCGTACGATCATCAGGCGATCAGGCGATTGATGTTAATAACATCAATCGCCTGATCGCCTGATGATCGTACGCTGTACGTGAAACACTGTGTAGCGATGAAATAAAATTTTAAGATTGAAATTTGTTGTTTATGTCTTTTTATTTGCTCTACTGATTTATTGGTGTTGAGCACTCTAGTTCACTACGCACAAATTCAAAATTGAATATTATATATATATATATATATATATATATATATATATATATATATATATATATATATATATATATATATATATATATATATATATATATATATATATATATATATATATATATATATATATATATACATAGCTTAAGATTTTGGTTTACGAAACACAAACAGTGCTCAATACCATATAGATAGAGCGTAATATAGTTTTTCGTTTTACCTCAAAAAACCATAACAGTCTGTTTCAAGTCTATATATATTTAACAATTATACCATGAGCTCGAGTCGTATATGAGCTGATAGCCGACGAGGTGCGTAGCACCGAGTCGGCTATCAGCCATATACGACGAGAGCGAATGGTATAATTGTTTTATAATATAGTCTAATATAGCCATTAACTGAAGCAGTAATTAATTATTCACTGTTACAATGTGTTGACAATTTGTTCGGCCAAAAACCGCTTGAAAATTTGAAATACTTTTGTTTTACAACTCGAAGACGAAGTGAAAGAAATGGTTTTAGAACCTCTATATCTCACAGGAAAGCTCAGATATATTATACAGATGTTTGGTACTATAGTAAGTGCTTGTTGACTGCAAATTCATTTGTCGTTCATCGGCAAACTTTTCTGAACAATTTATATTCTCAATGAACATGTTTTTTCGCTGTTGTTTCGGTATTAATTCTTTAAAAAACTTTATTTAAACTAATTTCTACGTAATAAATGTATTTTGCTAACCTGTCAATTTTTTTTGAGAGTTTTTCCCTGTACTATTATGTTTTTCAAAGCGAATATTTTCCTTTTTCTGCTTCGCAAAACTCATGTAGTTTTTGGACCGCCATCTTGTTTTTCGCTACTCGCCGTATATGAGCTGATATACGGCGAGTAATTCAACCAATCAGATTGCAGAACAGCTCATATACGGTGGATGACTATATTATAAATATATATATATATATATATAGCTCACTGGGTCAAACCATAATCAAACAACTCCATATTAGTATAAAAGGTACAATATATTTTTTATTTACTTTGCTATCATACTTATACATTCATTGGCTGGGAAACCACAACAGCTATTGCCAATTACAGCGGCCCCAATAGTTATATACGGAAACAATTTACAAGGTATACTAAACACACAAAATAAACAATACTTGACCAACAGTCATTACATTATGTCTAAAAACAGCATGTCAATGGGGAGATCGTTAAATTCCGAGCGGAATTACATTTTATACACGCACTTTTCCATGTGCGGGGATCCTCAACATCGTATGTATTTCCTAATGCTAAAGTAATAGTACTTAAAAAGAATATTCCCGAATTCTGAAAAGAATTCAAGAATCCCTAACGCATTAACCGTAATACTAACCACTCTGTCACCAATACCGACACATCCCGTCATTAATAGCTTCGTTTTTTTTCGTGATTTGTAGAGATGCCCTGTACCCCTTCCAGAATCTTACGAACTAGCAATCCATTCCAGAGAGAAGTATGTGGTATCGTGTATTATTTTATTAAGCGTGATGCTCTTAAAGTAACTGCATGATGTATTTCAGGGCTGGAAAATGTCCGGCAGCAGCACGAAATTTTTAGTACAATTTTTTTGCAGGAAATTTTACTGGATATACAATCGATCACGTGATAAAAATAGACCTAAACTTTTTCCTGATCTCTGCTGCACACGTAAAAATCTCACAACTTGTCAACAAGATGTGTTCGCAACAGGCTTGTAGCAAGCTTGTCGACAAGTTGTAACAATGCTGTGTTTTTTTTGGCCTAGTTGAATCCCTATCAATCCGAAGCTTATGATGTTGGCAGTACAACCTACTATCTAAAATTATACAGAAAGTCTTACATTTGGTTCACAGAGGAAGTTTTTGTTTTCGCTGCCAGGAAAAAAACCTTTTGTGTGCCTGGTGTGTTACAACAATTTTGTTTTATTGAATTTAGACGCGTGGATGATTGGCATCAGTTAGTACGTGAATCAAAATTAGCAAAATCGCAACGAAAGCAACTGCAAGCTGCCGTCCAACATCGATTTCAGGTATTCTTTGGTTTTATCCTCGTTTTGCTTCTGAGAATGAACTGTTGACCAGTTTGTATCGATATTGACATTCTTACCAGATCCAAGGCTTTCAGAAAGACGAACCTCCTCCCCACGTCCCCCCATCCCCTATAGTTTGTCACATCTTTGTCACCCTGCAATCTTTCTTGTATTTTTTAGGAATGGTTATCAGATACAGGAAATGCTCACCAGTTAGAAGGTTTGCTTCCTGCCGTAACACACCCTAAATGACACACGGAATGCATCTCACCTCGATCTTAGGAACATTTTCATGCCAGACCTTTCGGCGCCAGAAATTGCATGCGTGTTCACAGAAAATAACTCCCTGTATATATTAGGTCGTTTTATATTATGTTGCAGTACGTGCGTTTGAGTTTGAACTGCCTGAAGGTGATCCGGCCCTATAAAAATGTACATAATTTAAATATTTGTACAGTTGGGATAATATATATTAGGCTTATACAATAAATTCAAAACCAAGCTTATATAGCCTTATAGTTTATTAAAGTTGGTTCATTTAACAGCGACCTTCGGAATAGGTATAGCAATATGCTCTTTGGTCAGTCTCGTCATTTCGCCATTTTGGGATGAAATGGTAGCTTCTTGTTATGTGAAAACGATCCAAAATAGATGGCTTTATAACATGGTATTACATGCGGAGTATATTTCACGTAAGTTACCATCTTCTCATATGATTGTTTTTTCTTGAGTTGGGCGTCATCAGTTTATCAGTAATTTTGCTATTTTGCTTTTACCACTTTATTTACAACCATTTATGTCGGAGCTTCGGTGGCGCAATTGTCAGAGCAACCACCTCTGAGATCCTGGGTTCGATTCTCGCTACGTACTCAAGGCACTTTGTGTGAAAATATTTGGAACGATCTGCGCCAGTGTAAGTAGCGACGTAACATGCAAGAGAGATATACAAATACCTGAAAAATACAAGCAGAACCATGGCTGGATTTTGAGGGGGGTGCGCACTCCCCCTGAGATTGTTTTGTACCTCCCCTGAGAGTTTTGCACCTCCCCTGAAAAGTCACGCACCTCCCCGTGGGAAAGTATGAATGATAGATCAAAGTGAAAATTTGATATTTCTGCTTGTTGCTTAGGGTCTACACCTCTACACTTAAGGCAAAAAAAAAATATGTGGGTTTCCGGTTTCCCGACCCTACCTAGCTTTTGGACGTCGAAATCCCGACCCTAAACGTTTTTATTGGATCATGCTTGTAAGTGTTTCCACTTAGAGGAAAAAGTTTGTGGAAAATTGAAATTTGAGGCAATATTAGGGAAATTTATCTTTGGATGTGGAAGCACTGACTAAACAAAATGGCGTCGGCTTGTTCGGAAAATTAAAAAAAAGTTTAAAAATAAAGTTAAAACCGACCTACCCTACTTAAGTTTTTATAAGAAGAAACCGGAAACCCACATTTTTTTTGGCCTAACGTAAGAACGTTTTTTTTGAAAGTGAAGCGTTCATCTCTGTGTCAATGTCTTGAAAGAAATTTTGTAGTAATTGTAATCAAGGGCAAAATTTGATGAGTTGTACAGTCATAATTCATTAATACATTGATACATATATGTACACTACGTCTACATGCATACGTCACGTCGTTGACTTCGGTCCGTTCTAAGCCCTAACTTTCCATGGGAGTCGTGAGCTAGACCGCTGCACCTCGCCTAATTTTTTTCCACCTCCCCCACTATTTCCATCAAAATCCGGCCTTCACTGCAGAACTACTAACTTCGAAGACTTGTATTTTTGAGGTTTCTGTTGTATCGCTTTCATTCCGGCCAAAGCTCTACAGAAAGTGGTGGGTTTTCTCTGGGTGCTCCAGTTTCCTCCCACAAGGAATGTTGACAGAGTGGGTTGGGATTAGACCCTTTCACCGTACCTGTGCTCCGTGATCAGACACGGGTCTTACTGGCTACCAGGATATATATATATACATATATATATATATATATATATATATATATATCTTACTTAAATTTGGTTGACTGTATTTTATAAACTTTTACTTTCATATATAGTTATAACTATAGGGGTCTTAAATAAAAACCTGTTAAGGTTTCTGGTAGGCCCCTAGCCATATTATTAATTAAGTATTAAAAATTGTAACTATGTTATGATATATGGGCAAACTAATTAAAAAAAATGAAAAAAAAAATGATTAGCACACCCCGCTTACTTATTTATCTATATCTAACCTATGTATATCTATCTATCTTGTATGATATCACACATGACACATGTATAAGACCAACTCTCGTTTCTGTCATTTTGACAAGTAATGACAACAACAGTTCTAAATCCTTAACAGATAACAAACTAATCCCATTCAGCTTTTAAGGTTAAAAGCTTGAACGTTTTGTTGAGATAAAGTCTGGATATTAGCCAGGCGCTTCTTTTGCTAAATGATTTTACGCTAATTACTGCATGGCTAATGCAGGCTAATTACCTACATTACTTCAGCTTATTTTGGGGGGTGTTTTTTTTCGTCTAGTTTTCACTAATGAACTTATTAAATCTGTCGAAGCAGCTGTTATTGAAATTTTAGAGCAAAAAGGTCAGTGTCATATATTGTTTTGTGGGAAAACCGGTCATGACTATGTCTTGGACCTGTTTTTTCATTTTTGACTGTATTGTGGCGTACCGTAGCGTTTTAGTAGTTCTGTCTTGATGATTTCACGAAGTAAAGAAGAAGCGTTTCGCTATCATCAAAGGGGGGTATTTCTCTAGCTTTGGACGCGGTCCAAGTTGTTATCATTGACCCAATGCGTAATCTCTAGGGAGAACTAGGACAGCAAGACTAGTGACATTCTCGTACCCAGAGCCCTTCTTACGCGCGGTGCGACGAGGGGCTCTGGCCAAATCCATAACCGGATACCATAAAAACATGGTAAGAAAACAATATCCGGTGTTAGAACTAGCCAATCAGATGCCAGTTCGGAATATGGATTTGGCCAGAGCCTCTCGTCGCACCGCGCGTAAGAAGGGCTCTGGGTACGAGAATGGACTAGTGACTGTAGTCTTGCTCGACAATTAGCCATTCCGAAGTTGATGAGTGGACTATTTCATAGTAAATATCGGAATTTTCGAAAGCTTATTATTCGAAGGGTATTCATGTAAACGTCTTCAAATTTTGTATACTTACTAATTTTGATGTGGTCTTTTTAGTGATTTGGTTCATCTCTTAATTTCGGCATTTTTTAACACTCGTTCCCAGTCCTCTCATCAACTTCGGAATGGCTATAATTTCACAGTCGTGTTACCACGACGTTTTTGCATGTACGACGGCTAAAGCTCTGAAATAAATGTTTGTATGCAAATCTTGTCTTGCCGTTTGAATTTAATACAGTTTCGCCAAAGCCTGGTTTGCATTATCAAAATTTCTGCTGTCACTGTAGGTATCTTGCATGGATAAATTCTAAATTTGAAGGATTTATAAAAAAACGTTTGAAGGAACTGACTTAGTGTTGAAGACCAGTCTGAAAGGTTAAAACAGAGCTTAACCCTTCAGAACAATTTTGATCACCTCTGCTAGAAAAACCGCGAATCACGCCTTGAAATGCTAGCGTAATATATACGAGACCTGAAAATATGTATTTTGCCGTTGTCTAAACTCTGCTAGACTTTTAATTATTCATTTCTTTTGTGCTATAGGGTAATGTCATTATATTGATATATTTGCGTTGTCGACATCCTTGCGTAAGTTTCCTATTGTATCATTGGTTGCCTTTCCAAATTAAAAAAATCGGATTTGATAAGGGATCGACCCCCTCCCTAAATGCATCCTTGCAATGTAGTAGAGCATATCGTTTCAAGAAGAATCAATAACATAGCATATATCAATAACACAAATAACAATTAAAGCATGGAGACTAAAAACACCAGTTCATCGAGTTCGTTAAAGTCCTTGCTTTATTGCATCTCGGGCAAATCGTTTTAAAAGTTCGTGCATCACCACAATCGTATGTGTTTTTTAATGCAGTATGGGGGCAAGTCAAGTATGTCCTCCATGTTCTGATAGTTCTTGTCCAGATGATCTTTGGTAGGTTGATGAAAAGTATCTTATTTACATCAGATGCAGGGTATGGAAGGACAAGAGATGATATATATCCCGCCTGCATGCATGTTTTACATCCGCAATCCAGACTGGGTTACGCCAACAGCAACGACCAAATAACAAATGAAAACCATGCACGCAGGCTTAAAAAAGGGAAACTCGAATACTGTGACGAAGGCGTGGTTTGTGTCTGAACTATCTGGTCATTATTACCCTACATGTCATTATGACTCAATCGAAAAACGTCTTGAGAATTTTAACTATCTCACTGCTCCTAGTTATGTAATTTAAGGTATTTCGCCGATCAGTTCTGAATAGTTCTCGGTGTTTTCCCGGCATTTTTGAATCAACATCTTTCTGAATTTCCTTTTGCTATACGCTGTGTACACAGAACTCAGAAGACGATTTATTTCGTACTCAATTATATATACAAATAAATACTATGGTTTGTTTTATCACAATATATGAAGATATGATGGTCTGGAAACCGAACTGAAGGCATTTGTGTTATGTTCTTGTCTGAGTTTGTTAATTTGTGCACGGTGACCAAAACAAGGCTGGTCAGGCTGGTCTAGTATTTAATTTCTCAGAGAGAATACATGGTATCATGCTTATACTCAGGGGCGGATCTAGGATTTTTTGTACCTCAGTCAAAATTTTTTTGGTGGACGGGGCGTTATCGGCGCTGGGCGTGGTCTCAACTGGGCGTGGTCGACTCCAGACGGGGGAGTGGGCGCTAAATGCTGATAGTCCGCCACTGGATTTTTAGAATTTTCCCTACATAAAATGCGATTTGGTCCCCCCCCCCC